TCTAGGTTTTCTCACCAAAACTATACAACTCAAATCTTTTGAAAGAAAATTTTCCAAAATCATTTTTTCTTCAATCAACAAAGATCAAGACCCATAAGATCATTTTAAAAGAACAAGAGACAAACCCACTTTCAAAATTACTCAACTTCTTGAATCAACAATCAATTTTCAAAGCTATCGAAAGATGATTTCGAAAATCATATAGATCTTGCAAATATATATATAACTCTAAAAAAATCTCTACCTCAAGTTTTGAAGAAGAAATGAGATGAAACCCCTAAAATCAACGGTGTCGAAACTCGATCTTCACCGCACACAACAAAGCGCTCGAGAAATTAACCAACTTTGATGAAGAACTTATGGCAGAACTCTAATGGATCTTGAGAAATCAAGGTTTTGAACCAATTTGACATAGGGAAATGTAGAGAGAAGGGAGATGAAAGGGTTTTTAGAGAGAGAGATATACAAAAGTGATCTGAAGTATCAGATTCATGAACTAATATAACATGGTCCGCTCGAGCGTTGAAAGCCCCACTCAAACATCAAATACACTTTCCTAGTACTTTCGCAGACAGGTAAAACTTCTGGAACCGAACATTATCCGCTCGAGCGCATAAACGGCCGCTCGAGCGGACAAGAAACTTCTAATACATTTTGCATTTTTTCTTCGGGGGCGTTGCCCCTTAATCCCGCCAGGGTGCTGCCCTAGGACCCGCCAAGGGGCGTTGCCTCCTGGACCCCCGCGAGCTGATCGGGCAGCTCAATCCCCGCCAGGGCACTGCCCTTGGACCCGCCAAGGGGCGCTACCCCCTGGACTCCCGCGAGCTGACCGGGCAGCTCGATCCCCAATATACTCAGCGAAGTGGCAAAACTGGGATTACTACATAAATCAGATTTTTAATTGAATTCTTATAAGGCGCTAAATAGCAAATTAAACTCATTCTTTCATTTTTGAAACTCAATTTCATGAAACATCTATTTTCTTGAACCCAAGCTCTAATTCATGCTTAATATCTCTTTAAACTCCATGAATCATGGTTAAAAACAAGTTTAGAACCCAAGTTCTCTTAAGAATATGTCATGCATGTAAAGATTAGGAGTTAATTTGAACAATTCTACCATTTTCTAACATGCATGCCCTAAGCTCTTAATTACATGAGCAAATCTTCTAATTAATTATAAGTTCAACTCAAGTAAGCTTATGTTCTTCCTATTTGAACTTGGATTCTTTGAATTAACAATGTATCATTTCAATTTCATGAATTAGGAGGTGGAAATTACCTTAGTTTGATGATTTAATGCAATATGAATCAAGCCCCTTCTTTCTTCTTCCTTCAATTCTTCTTTGAGCTCAAACTCTCAAGATGACTATTCTTTCCTCTCTCTCTCTCTCTCTTCGTGGGTCTTGTTTGGTGTGTTAAATGAAAGACTCAATATAAGCAACCAAGTACTCTCTCTCTCTCTCTTACTATGTTTGTTGATTCAAAAATGAGTTGTATTCTAAATTATTATTATCATTAATTAATTTTAAACCATTAAATCATTCTAATTAAGTTAAATAAAAAAAATCAAATCTATGCAAATTAAATTAATCATCATCACAATAAAATCTCAATTATACTAAATTTAATTTAATTTAATTATATTAGTGTGAGCGAATAAGGCTCTAATTCCTATCCAATTATTTAATCACAATTTGTTAAAATTAGCGAATCAGACATGTTTAATTTTCATTCTAATGTATCTGTTCAAACAATACAAGTTAATAAATTTCATAACAATCAATAGCACTTAATTACATAATTAATGGTTCCAATTAAGACTCAATTCAATCACAGACAATTTCAGTAAACTGAATCAATTTTCAATTAAACTTTCCAAATAGCTCTAAAAATTCCCATAAGCCCATCCATGTACTCAATTTTAATTTGTGCACCCAATAAGATTGTCGATTTCAGTTTCAAAGTTGTAACCTTAACATGTAATGTTCCAATTTGGACAGATATGCACAAATTAAATTACTAGGCACTTAGTTCAATTAGAATTAGCACATAATTAATTAATTAAAATTCACGATTAGTAAGTCTGGGTCGTCACAAAGTGTGTGGGCAAGGACGGACGTAGGATTCTAATATAAAGGAGGCGAACATATATTCTAATAAAATTTTCTAATAGGAAGTATAAACTACAACATTAATTTTTATGGACATAAAATGTAAAAAATAGCATTCAAAATACATGTTCTCCTATACTTATAGTGAGTTAGAAAAGACGAATTGTAAGACAATCTATCAACATTAGTGGTGATAAACCAAATTTTATTATTATATTTTGTCTAAATTGTTAAGTTTTATACTTTGAATCCCACCTTTCATAGATAGCGAGGGGTAGATCGTGCAACCACTTTTTCTTTTTCTTTTAAAAAAAAAAAAAAAAAACTAGAGGGGGCAAATATGTATATTTTAAAATTAATACTAATATATAAAGGATTTTTTGAAATCGTAGGAGGGCAATGGCCCCCTCTTACCCCTTCTAGGTCCATCCTTGTGTGTCGGTTCAAGTGAACCCACTGAATTTTTAAATAATAATAATGTTATATCTATCATATTTTTATAGGCACTTGGTCCATAAATTAAATTTTAGATTTTCTTTACCCAAAAGTCTACACTCTAAAATACTTTGTGTATGTTTAGTTTGGTTTTGAGAGAGTAGTTTTTAAAAATTATTTTGGGAGAGAGTTTAGAATTTTTTTTGATTTGTTTGGTTGTATATTTTGAAAGTAATTTTGGAGTTTGAGAGTTTGAAATGATTTGATATTTTGTTATAATTGAGTAGATGTGCGTGAGAGAAAAAGTGATTGAGAATGAGAGAAGAGAGAGGAGAGAGAAAAAATGATTGATTAATGTGTAAGAGAGAGAAAGTGATTTTAGAAATTATTTTAGAAAAATTACAAACTAAACAAGTTTTTTAAATTTTTTTTTTCAAAATCACTCTACAAATCCAAATCTCGTCTAAAAGGACAAACTTTTGTAAAATGACCAAATTATCTATATATATTGTTTTCCAAACCCTAAACAATCGTCTCTTTTTCTCAACTCTCTCGTTGTCTCTCTCTCTAAAACCGTCCCACCTCTCTCTCTAGTTCCTCCACCGTCTCTGCCGCGAACAGCCGGTCTCCACATAATCGATGGACATGTTCTCCTATACTTATAGTGAGTTAGAAAAGACGAATTGTAAGACAATCTATCAACATTAGTGGTGATAAACCAAATTTTATAATTATATTTTGTCTAAATTGTTAAGTTTTATACTTTGAATCCCACCTTTCATAGATAGCGAGGGGTGGATCGTGCAACCACTTTTTCTTTTTAAAAAACCTAGAGGGGGCAAATATGTATATTTTAAAATTAATACTAATATATAAAGGATTTTTTAAAATCGTAGGAGGGCAATGGCCCCCTCTTACCCCTTCTAGGTCCATCCTTGTGTGTCGGTTCAAGTGAACCCACTGAATTTTTAAATAATAATAATGTTATATCAATCATATTTTTATAGGCACTTGGTCCATAAATTAAATTTTAGATTTTCTTTACCCAAAAGTCTACACTCTAAAATACTTTGGGTATGTTTAGTTTGGTTTTGAGAGAGTAGTTTTTAAAAATTATTTTGGGAGAGAGTTTAGAATTTTTTTTTGATTTGTTTGGTTGTATATTTTGAAAGTAATTTTGGAGTTTGTGAGTTTGAAATGATTTGATATTTTGTTATAATTGAGTAGATGTGCGTGAGAGAAAAAGTGATTAAGAATGAGAGAAGAGAGAAGAGAGAGGAGAGAGAAAAAATGATTGATTAATGTGTAAGAGAGAGAAAGTGATTTTAGAAATTATTTTAGAAAAATTACAAACTAAACAAGTTTTTTAAATTTTTTTTTTCAAAATCACTCTACAAATCCAAATCTCGTCTAAAAGGACAAACTTTTGTAAAATGACCAAATTATCTATATATATTGTTTTCCAAACCCTAAACAATCGTCTCTTTTTCTCAACTCTCTCGTTGTCTCTCTCTCTAAAACCGTCCCACCTCTCTCTCTAGTTCCTCCACCGTCTCTGCCGCGAACAGCCGGTCTCCACATAATCGATGGTCTCATTGCCATTTTTTTTCCCAGAGAGATGCGAATCTGAAACCCTAACTCTAGCTTTTCAATCTCTCTTTGCGTGGGATGAAAATGATTTCGCATGTGAGATTCGTTGTGAGATCCGTCGCTTCATCGTTGCCGCAAATCCAACTCTACCACCACCTCTGACCTCTCTGCCTTCGTGGTTTGCAAATCTGTCTTAGATCAACCTCAGCTCAAGCTGTGACTTCAAGCACTTCAAGTTCTAATGTATCGTGTTCATCCAACATGTCGTTTGATTCATCGCACAATTGAGCATCGATGGGGAGGACGAGGAGAAAGACTCCGACGCCGATTCAGAGAAAGCAATTTGGTTCGAAGATGAAGAAAGTTGAGAAGGTTGTTACTGATGCTGAGAGTGGATCAGTAGACTTTGCTGATACTTCTCCAATGAAGAAAAGTTGTGCTTGGGTCACAACAAACTCTGGTATCTCCATCCATCAATCTGATGTTTTTTGCCTCCTAAATTCTTAGGCACCAAAAAACCTCCTGCATTTTTTTAACTACTAATTGTTTAGTGGCAAAAAATTATGTTAATTATTATCATTTTTAAATGTACAAATTGTATATTTTCATTAATTTCTAAAGCATTTCCACAATTTATATGTATTCCATTATCAATGTGTAGGAGAGGGTTCAAGAAAAGAGTTGGAAAATTCGAAGATCTTCAAAGATCCTTGAAGAACAACTTCGAATTCTCTAGAATATGATGAGAGGCTTAGATTCTTCAATAATCTCAACTTAGGAACACAACAACAAAGGAGATGATGGAGATAAGAGAAATTAGCCCCTCTTACACAATGCAACATGTAACTTGTACAAATACAAAATAATAAATCTATCAATTATATCCTCAAATCATTATCAATAATACCTATTTCATTATCAACTATCCAAAAACTTAAATTCGTAATCAAATTCCAAATATCATATAAATCCATACAAACCAAGTATAATCCATCCAAAAAAATATTACATACAAAAACACTGGATTTAAAAAATAAAGGTTTGTACAAAAACAAATGTCTTTCATATATCAAAACAATGCTTGTTTTTGGTTAAATTTAAGTCATTTTCGGGTCCAACTCTCAACCTATGCTTCCCAATCACGTGTCGTCTATTCCTACAAGTTCTGTTAGGCACAAACAAGCTACCCATGCCATCCCTTGAGTGGTTCGGGAACTGTTTTGCATTTTCGATTCCTCAAACGTCCTTTTTTGAGTAAGTTTAAAGTATTTTTGTGTCTAACTTCCAATCTATGCGTCCTAATCACGTGTCATTTGTTCCCACAAGTTTTGTTAGGCACGAGCAAGCTGCTCATGCCATCCTCCATGAGGTTCAAGAATTGTTTGCATTTTCAACCCCCAAATGTCCTTTTTCGGTTAAGTTTAAGCATTTTCGCGTCTAACTTCCAACCAACGCATCCTAATCACGTGTCATCAATTCCCCCAAGTTCTATTAGGCACGAGCAAGCTGTTCGTGCCATCCCTCAAGTGGTTCGGGGATTGTTTTGCATTTTTGACCCTCAAACACCCTTTTTCGGTTAAGTTTAAGACATTTTCAGGTCTAACTTCCAACCTACGTGTCCTAATCATGTGCCGTCTATTCCCACAAGTTTTGTTAGGCATGAGGAAGTTTTCCATGCCATCCCCCGAGTGGTTCAGTAGATTTTTTCATTTTCGACCCCCAAACGCCATTTTTCGGGTAAGTTTAAGACATTTTTGGGTCTTAGTCCCAACTTACACATCCTAATCACGTGTCGTCTGTTCCCATAAGTTCCTTTAGGAACGAGTTAGCTGCACGTGCCATCCCTTAAGTGGTTTGGGAACTGCTTTGCGTTTTCAACCCCAAAATGCTCATTTTCAATTAAGTTCAAGGCATTTTTGGGTCTAACTCCCCACTTACGCATCCTAATCATGTGTCGTTTGTTCCCACGAGTCTTGTCAGCCACAAGAAATCTACCTATGCCATCTCTTGAGTGGTTTAGGAACTGTTTTGTATTTTCGACTCCTAACGCCATTTTTCGATTAAGCTTAAGGCATTTTCGAGTCTAACTCCCAACCTACACGTCCTAATATTCCAAACTTATGCATCCTAATCACGTGTCATTTGTTCCCACAAGTTCCTTTAGGCACAAGTTAGCTACCTGTGCCATCCGTTAAGTAGTTTGGGCACTGTTTTGCATTTTCGAGTCTAACTCCCAACTTACGCGTCCTAATCATGTGCCGTTTGTTCCTAGGAATCTTGTTATGCACAAGAACTGTACCCATGCTATCCCCTGAGTGGTTCAGAGACTCGTTTGTATTTTCGACCTTTAACGCCATTTTTCAATTAAGTTTAAGGCATTTTCGAGTCTAACTCCCAACCTACGCGTCCAAATCACGTGTTATCTGTTCCAAGGAGTTCTGTTAGGCTGCCTCTCCCCAAGTGGTTTAGTGGTTGTTTTGCATTTTTGACCCCCAAACATCATTTTTTGGTTAAGTTTAAGGTATCTTCGAGTCTAATTTCTAACTTACATGTCCTAATCACGTGCTGCCAGAGTCGGCTAGATCATCAGGCCAGCCAAGCCCAAGCTTTAGGCCTCCAAATTTGGGAAGGCTCAATTTTTTAATATAATGTAATAAGCCCATGTGATTCATTATTTATTTTTTTGAATAAAGGGTCCAAACTTTAATTACACATCTAATCAATAACTACTATTTATCACTAAAGGTGGAAAATCATGTTCTATTGTTCTACCCTTTCAATATTTTTTTTTTGTATTTTTATTATTTCTAGTGTCGTATGCTTTTTTCTTTAAAATTATTTTTAGAGAAAACAAATATGTGTAATAAAAATTATTTTTATTGTTAGTAACCATGCTTTTAAAGAAAATTTGCTTTTAAAAGAAAATGTGGTTCGTAACCACACTTTTAAAAGCCATATAAAATGGCCCACACCCCCCTCATTTGCAACCACACTTTTTATACACTTATATTTTTTCCCCAAAGCCCGAACTTGTTCTGTTGATCTCTGCTCCCTCTCTGTCTTCGTGGGACGATCTCTGCTCTCTCTCTCTCTCTCTCTGTGGCTCGCTTTTTGCTCTCTGTCGCTGGTATATGCTCTCTCTCTCTCTCTCTCTCTCAGTTTAAATTTTTTTTATGTTGATTTTGTTTGTGAAAATGTGAATCGGCTTTTTAATATTTTCTCTTCAAGGTTTATGAATCTATTTGAAGTTACATGGGGTGGCTTTTTAAACACAAAGGGTCTAATTGTTTTTTTGTTTTGTTCTGACACCCCCTCATCCCATTAAGAATTGCTGAAGTTCACATGGGCATAGTAGTTATGGTACGACCTCTTGCTTTTTTTCATACAGTGAGTAGTCTCATCAAAGTCGTTGCAGTGATAAGTCCAACATTTCTCAGTCATGCAGTGATGCAGTGACTTTAACATATGTAATAAATTAAAGGACTCAATGAAATGGCCAAGTTCACATGGTCACAGTAAACAGCATACGGATGATTGGTCTTTTTTGAAAAAGTGAGTAGTCATCTTCGAGTGACGATTGAAGTACTGATTGTGTGGAGCGTGTTTAGCATTGATTGTTTATTACTCATAAATATGTGGGCTTTTAATGGCATGTGACTTTGTGCAACACGACTTAGATGCTTTGTTTTTTCCTCACATTTTAGAACTCATCTAAGTCACATTAATACGACCACATGGCAATAGTGTTGACAAACAACTATATAAAGGACTGAAGGAGTGATGGTAAACACACAACCTTTCCACTTAGTTCGCCCTAGGAAACTATCGTTCATTTATTGAGAAAAAAATCAAATGGAGTATAGATTCATGGCAGGGGGTAGGAATCGTAGAGGTGAGAGTTCATGACGAGGAAAAGGAACGGGAAGGGGACTCGCAGGGGGTAGGAACTTCGAAAGAGGTGAGAGTTCATGCCGAGGAAGAGGAACGGGAAGGGAAAGTGGCGATGTTGAAGATGAAACATCATTTGCTTTGTTAGATGCCTCTTGTGCTTATCATGATAGGTTTGGGAAGCGACATTTTGTCATGCCCAATTACTATCACGATCCATCTGGTTTCGTGGAGGATCTATTTGATAATCAAACAGGATACGGTTTAATAAAGGAGTGTAAATGGAAAGATTATGTTGGGAAAATTGACTAAAGGTGCCAAAAGCACGTTCAGTTGAGATCCAAAAAGAAGAGCCAGATAATGTTGATTAACTATGTGAAAGACTTTGACGTGAGATTTCTCAAATGCGTCGTAGGTCAGCCCGCGATATGAAACTATCTATACTTAAGTCGGATGCCAAAAAAAACGGAACAACACTAAATGCTAAGGCTATCAAGGCTATCAAGGAGGATCCTGCACTTCTCTTTGACCCTGATCTCTCAGATTGTTCAGACTCTGAGATTGCCGATTTGAGCGAGGATTAGGCATCTATTTGTCTACTAAATTATATTAGGTTATCCATAATTATGTATTGTGTGTGTTATAATAACTCTTTCGACAATGAGTTTTTGAAAGGTTTGTCTAATATTTGTTTATGTAACTATTAAGTATTATATTCGTCGCTTTATTTTATGTACTGTGTTATGTTGAATGTTTCCACAAATTATTTTTGTGGGATACTTATGTTTAAACTAGCTACGTCGTTCAGAAGTGTTATAAGTGTTATAGTCATACCTTTATTTTGTTTCCCTGTTCGTAGTAGTAATTAGCAAATTAGATACTTCGTATATGCTGTGTGAAGTTTTATTTAAATATTTCTTGGCAACAAATATTTAAGGGAACAACAAATATTTAGTTTGGAAAATTGCGCGAAAGTAGGCTTAGTTTAGGAAATAAATTAGTATAGGGGCTTAGTTTGGGAAAAGCCCTGAGAAAATCTTTCTGAAACTGCGCGAAATGTTCTCTAGGGAGGGTGCATGTCTTGAGGCCACTATTTTCTTCTTCTTTTTTAATTTTAAAATTTTTATTTCTTGTTTTTATTTTTGTCCGTCATCAATCTCTTTTAAATTATATTTGCATTATAAATTTAAATAAAAATTTAACAAAACAAAATAATAAGGTAAATTAAGCAAATATTTAATTTATATTTTTTCATATTCTTTCTGAAACTACGCGAAATGTTCTCTAGGGAGAGTGCATGTCTCGAGGCCACTATTTTCTTCTTTTTTAATTTAAAAATTTTAATTTCTTGTTTTTATTTTTGTCCGTCATCAATCTCTTTTAAATTATATTTGCATTATAAATTTAAATAAAAATTTAACAAAACAAAATAATAAGGTAAATTAAGCAAATATTTAATTTATATTTTTTCATATTCTTTTTTACTTTTATATTTTTAAAGTCATAAGCGGTGATTATTGATTCAATGGTAAAATCTTAGTCTAATAATCTTTGATATGATGTTTATGCTTGCTTGTTTGTGGTTTTCTTTTTATCTTTTTATGCCACATCATTATAGCTTAAATCAGAACTCTAGAATTAGGGCTCTTAATCACTATTCTTTAGACAATTTATGTTGTTTATTTTTTAAAAATTTTATGTATAAATTAATTATGTAAATATCAAATTGATCTAATAATCGTATATATAACTTTATCATTTTTTTATAAAAATAATGGATGAGAAACATAATTTTAAAATTAGATAATTTATTTTTAAATATTAAAATAATAAAATTTGGTAGCTACGATTGTTTATCAATATGGCATTTTATAATTTATATATAGAGATCTAAAAGATGACTGAGTGAGAAATCAATCAAAATAATAATAATAATAATAATAAACAGTTTTTTACTAATTTCAGATGGTGAATTTTGTTAAAAACGTGGTTACGAATCATGCTTTCTTTAAAACCAAATTTTCTTTAAAAGCGTGGTTAGAAATGACGCTTTCACTTAAAGATGAAAACGCTTAGGAACAGTTTTCTTTAAAAGCGTGGTTAAAAATGGCGCTTGCGTTTAAACGCTAATAGGGACATCGTTTTCTTAATTGAAAGCGTGGTTTGCAACTACGCTTTTATGATTTTATTCATTTTGTGAGTCTGGGCTAGAAACATGCTGAAAGCGTGTTTTGTAAATACACTTCAGCTTGTTCTGGGAAATTCGGTCAAACTAAGCTTAGTTTTGAAAATAACTTAGTAGGTAAGCCTAATTTGGGAAAAAGCCCCAGGAACAACGGCTTTATTATCATCTAAAAAAAATTGCCTAAATAGGAGATCAATGGATGAATAATTGTTTGATAATGTCTATTAAAAATGATGTATTTGATTTTGCATGTTTTTTGTTGAAAAAAATGGTATCAATATATTAGAACTCTTTTTCTGTGATTTAAAAAATTTAAATTAGTGGATTTTCTAAAGGGTAGAGAAGAGTCCTTGAGGCTGGATTGGACAATTGAATTTTTAGTAACATTTTTTTGTTTTGTTTTGTTTTTTTTTGTTTTTGTTTTTTAAAGATAAAGTTGTTGCTAAAAAAATCTAGCCTTTTGTTATTGTGAAGGTTTAGCCAACTTGTTTTTTTATTTATTTATTCTTTAGTAATATCTATTTATTCTTTAGTAATATTCTTTAGTAATTTATTTTTTTAAATAAAAAAATTAATATAAATTTTAAAAATCTTCACTAATTTTTATTTTATTTTATTTTAAATTTGACCTTTTATCAGTTGCCAATCTTGTAAAAAAATATAATATGAAGTACGGACACGGACACGTGACACGACACGAACATGCGAATAGCAAATTTTCAAAAAATAAGGGACACGATGTGCTGGAGACACGTTTAATATATATAATTAATTTTATTTATTATATATTATAAAATTATAAAAAAATTATTCAAAGATAATAAAAAATATAAAATAATACTATTCACCTTGCTTGGTTTCTAATTTTTGAAAACACTTTTTAGAAAATTCTACTTTCTTATTTTTCGTGTTTTTTTGTTTTTATTGAATTTTTTTAATATTTTAAGCAATTTTTTTACTTTTTAGACACACCTAACATAAATACACCTAAAAAGTAAAAAAATTTTAAAAAAAATCTTTTAAAAATTCACCAAATACCAAAAATACAAAAAAATACAAGAATTTAGTACATTTTTTGTATTTTTATGTATTTATTAATTTTTTAAAATATTTTTTTACAAATTTTTTACTTTTTAGATACATCTAAGTAAGGTGCATTTAAAAACGTAAAAAAAATATTTAAAATTTAAAAAATATTCACTAAAAACAAAAAAATACAAAAATAAAAAAAGTCAATTTTTAAAAAACTTAATCCAGAAAACTCAAATCAAACACAGTGATTAAAATTATAACAGAGGCATTTTTTTTTTGTACTTATCAAAAATTAAAAATTATAACAGAGACATGTAGAGAGAAAAAAAAATATAAAATGAAATTAAAAAAAAAAATAGAAGCGAGAGCGAGACTCCACTCACTGACCATATGAAAGAAAAAGAAAAAGAAAAAAAGAAAAAAAAATAGATTGAAGAAGATCAGAGACAACGAGAGGTGAGTAACTGCGAGAGAGGGAAACAGCCACTGCGAGAGAGAGAGACAGCATCGGAGAAGAAGAAGAAGAAGAAGAAGATCGAAGATCGAGGAACGAAGAACGAAGAAGAAGAAGCGAATGTGTACCTTAGATAATAGCCGACGAGCGACGACGACGAACGATCAGGTCTGCTATCTCTTTCTCTTCTGTTCTCTTCTCTCTCTTTCTGCTCTGTTCTACCTCCATTTAGGGCACATATTGTTTTGTTTTTATTTTTTTACAAATTGACCCACAGAAGTTCCATAAACTGTGAAATTGACCCTGAACGTGTCCCCAAAGGTGTCCGAACGTGTCTGGAACGTGTCCGGTTGCAAAAAAAAAAAAAAATCGGGACACTCTTAGCTGCGTGTCGGACCCGTGTCCACTGCATGTCTGTGTCCGACACTGGTGCGGAGCCCTCGGAGAGGTGTCCGTGCTTCAGTAAATAATTCTCAATTGTCAATTAAATAAGATGAAAACAACTGTTCCAGTTTTTCCTTTTTTTATTATTATTATTTTTTTTGGCTCAAGTAGTTAAAAAGTGACT